GTCAAATTAATTCGCTCTTAAAGAAATAGCTTAAGGATTTATAATCAGAAACATTGGCAGTGGGGTGCAAGCTTTTGATTGTCAATTCCTATAGTCCAATCAATATGTTATAATTAAAAAATCAGGGCTCTTTCATTCTACATGCAATTTCAAGACTTTTACAGCTGATTTGTACACTGATACATCCTTCCTTTATGCAAACACACAACAATAGAGAGTTTAGGCATAGGCATGACACACTGGAAGCTTTCTTTAAAACTGTCTGGATCACACTGAGATGGAGTCTGTAAGGAGGGGATGCATCCCACCACATATCCCAAGCAGCCTTCACCCTGAAGCAGCAGCTGGGATAGCGTGCTATGTAGGATGAAGAAATGTTCAAGTGACACCAGAAGGTGTTCTCAGGCATGCCATAATGTTAGCATTGATGCACACTCCCAGATGCTTCTTCACAGCTATGCTGACATAGGCACAAAGAGCAGCTCCCAGGTTGAGGTCCTGCTAGTCTGCAGCTACAGGGAATGCAGAGCTTCCATTCAGGCACTTCTGTTGCATTGCATGACAGCTGGAAATCCTTTCTGCACTCTCTCTGCATTCTCCAAAAGATACTAAATTCTAAATTTTGTACCTATTAGTTGCACTAATAAATTCCCTATGTGTGTGTGTGGATCACGTATTATTATTACGAATGCAGGCAGTCTGTATTCTGGATGTTCTTCTGTAAAACATTCTGCTGGAATTCCAAACGCTGGCTGTTCTGGCAGGTAGTTTTCAGGAACAAAACAAATCACCGTGTTCAGTTCATTTACTCAAGGAGTAAGTTTCCTACCACAGCACTGTTATGGGGTCCTCCCACCACTTTGTTTAAACACACAAGTATTGGTGTATTTGTGAAGATCTGCAGCTTTTTGCTATTTGTCTGTTCTAGTCTATAAATAGTCTCCAGGATTCCTCATTAGACAACAGACGTAAATAGCCCAGCATTTTTTAAAACACCAAAGTACTCTGATGAAAAAAAAAAAAAAGCATCTGAAAAACAACACATCCTGCCCTCACTGTGCATTTGCGCTTTTTTTTTTTTTAATTACTGCAATAAACAGTGAGTCAGAAATCTGATGTAAAATTCTGTGCAACTTAGACACTGAGAAAACAACAACATGGCAAATACGGATAGCATTTGATCAAAGAAGTTTGTCCAGGGAAGAAGTGAGCGTGCTTATGAGGAGTGCCCTCCATCCTGTCCACCTCCCTTCTCTCCCCAACTCTGACCAACACCCGCAGCTCTTGGTCTCTCAAGTGTGAGCAGAAGACTCTTGTGGAAGTCACTGCCCATCAAAGGAGCTTCTGAAGCTTCAGGAAAGCTTTACAACAGAACATTCAAAGTTACTTCTTTAAATCACACACATTGCGCAAACTCATGAGTCATTCAAAGTGGTCAGGTGGATTTTCACAAATTATCATTTCATATCAAATGTAAGTCTTGGTTTCAACTTTATCTCTGAAAAAGATTTAAAAAAAAAAAAAGTGAGACTTTATTCTTCACAGCTGGAACCACCACGGAGACGATCCCCAAGCACACATACCACTTACTGCTTCAATTCCATCTCTCTTTTATCCCCCTGCTTTCCTCAACCTTTAGTACTTTACAGCCCCCAGGTCAGCAGCTCAGGTCATTGCCCACCATGCCTTTACCCACTCCGTTTTTTGTTCTTCGTCGCTCCGTGTGCATCGCAGCAACTGCTGCCCTAGTCACATCTCACCTTCCTTCTACACCCCAGAACTGCAAGAAAAAGGCACACACTGCAACACTGATCATTTCCAAAACTGCTTTAGGCTCAGACTATTCCTCCCAGACAAGCAAGTCGCCATAGGAAATACGTTTCTGTACAGAAATAGGTACACCGCAGACATTCAGACTATAAAAGGCTTCTGCTTGTCCACTCCAGTTTAAAGAAACCCCGACATCCAGCTCTTTAGTTAGGCAGGCTCCTTATGAAAATAGCAGCTCTTACCAACAGACGCAGTATAGACAGTCAAAATAAACAAAAATAATATCTGATACCTATTTAGGTCACCACAGAAGTGATTAAATATAAATACATACATATTTTTCTACTTGTGAACCATATCATCAGAAAGTATTGTTTCTTGCCAGACAAAAAAAAAAAAAAGTCTGCCTCTGAAATTCCCCTGAAAAGTGGGATAAAGTTCAAATTAAAAAATGAAGCTCTTTCAAAGGTTTGGAAACACCTTTACTAATTCTATGGGTAAAAAAAAGAAATCCTGCTCATTTACCAAACAACTTCTCTATTACATTCAATACTTGGAAATAGTTTGAGAGGAAGAGTAGAATTCCTTACCAGCTCTAGTAATCATATGATAACCACTAGGTATGGTACAGAGGACTTCTTACACCTATGCTTCTAAATTAAATAAGCAATTTACAGTCATCAGAAATATTTTGCTTTAGGTAAAGTAATTTTAAAAACTCTCTACTTGTCACAGTCAGCCATAAGAATACACTGCAAATAAATTTTTAAAATTATGCAACAGGCACAAGCCAAAATTTGGTATTCTGAGCTTGCGTAGTCTAAAATACACTCCTCACCTTCAAATTGCAACCTTACTCTGTAATACTTGAACTGCTGAAAATCCCTGCTGCCAAGGTCTCCACTTGCTCTGTAAGACATCACGTAAACAGACACCTAAGCTGCAATGAGCACTGAGCAGTAACAATCAATCAGTAAATGACAAGTTACAAGTCATTTCTGACAGCACTATTTCACGAGCAGCCAAGTTACCACTTCCAGATCTACCAAAAGCTGCAGCCAGCAGCATGAGATACCTCCAGGGGGAAAAAAAAAAAAAGAGAATTCCTAAGGTTAAAAAGCAAGCAAACAACAAAAAACAGCATACACATACGTATGGCTGGATAGAACAGCTTTTAACAGAGGAGATATTTGTTTTAGAGCACAGCTAGACAAGCTATTTTGGTTTCCTGAATGCTGTTATTGTGCAGGACAGTAAGGGAGCAGTGAACATGTGATAACAAATGACGTGATTCCAGGATGTCAAAGTGCCTCATGGCGAAATGGCTTTAAGCTTCCTCTTCACATGATCAGGTCAGCATTCATGCTGACATAAAAGCTTAGTTTACAAGTTTACTCTTAGCCATGGGTTCACGCTTAGAAATGACTATTCTGTCTTCCTTTGGGATCATCTAAGGAAGCTATCCCGTCTTTCCAACTGAAATAACCCACAAGGGACCGGATGGGAATTTTTCTGCCTGCTGTCTCACAGTCCACTACTAAGCTTCCCTACTTATCCCCTCCTATTTTATAATTTCTGCCAAACCCATTCACATCCTCCTCCTTTGTTTTCATCTCTCTAGTGCTCCCTTGAGTGGCCTTGCAAAAGGCACAAAAGGAATGCGGGATGGCTCCTTCTGCAGACGTGGTGGACCAAGCCAAGCTGTACTTTGCTTACCTTGGCAGATATTGCCAGCATTATAGAAATTGCTTTCACACACAAATCTCCAGTTTGCAAAAGCATCTCACCCCCACCAGCTTCTAAAAAAACTCTGTAGCAAGCTGCCACCACAACGTCTGAGTAACTGAGTAACTTCAATAGTCGTTTTCATTTTCATATAGTCCTCCAATAGTCGTTTTCATTTTCATAGATGTATGAAAGCACTCAAGAAGCTATTTAGCATCTGAGTATAATAACCTCAAACATGGCTTCTATGTATAAAGATTCTTCACCCCCCAGTGCCCATAATAGATGCTTATAAAAGGGTAAACTTAATAAGGGTCACATTCTTTAATTATGTTTCTACTTTGTATGTCAAATGCAGTGCTAATGAGCAGAGAATTAATTTGATGGAAAAAACAGACCATTCTATCCTAATTGAAAAGAAGAGCAAATTCCTTTATAAATCAGCAACTGAAAGGCACAGGTGTTGTAGAAAGAGAATAATCTAATAGTAAGCGTACGAGACAAGTTCCATTCAAATCCAAAAATCTAGGAATTTTAGTTTAGTAATCTTTTTTTCCAAATCCATGCATTTATATTCACAGCTCATATTGTGGGTCAGATAATACAGCATTAACAAGAACAAAGGTCCACTTACTACCTTGTTCAGCCTTCGCTGCATAATTCCCAGCAGCAGATAAGCTGACTGCAATAACTGGGCTACCGTACGCTAAGCTGCAGGTGGATCTGATAGAGCTTGCTCCTTCCCAAGCAGTGAGAAGAGCTGGACCAAACTCAGCCTGCAACACATACACTGGTGCACTACTTTAGGGACACAACAGCAACATGCTGCTCCTGACTACAGAAGTACTTAATTTTATATTATGCCTCCAGATCAAAAACAGTTAAAGCGTAATCCAAGAAACTGCATTTCTGGAGAAGAAAATACCCTGAGAGAGCGCCTTCTGAAATGAAGAGAAGGACTCTTTTTCAGAAAAAAAATGCTGAATGCAGTTTTTGACCAGAGCTTTCAGATTCTCAAGAATCAACTGTTGCTTCTGAGGGTCCAGGAAAGACAACTATGGAAAGAAAGCCTATCAGTCTGAATTCACATATGTTTCTACACACTATTCAAGAGTTCCCATTACCACTGTAAACTTTTATAAGATCCTATTTGAAAACTACAGATTTAAAACATATTCTCAAGTAAACAAGAGCTTTACTGTTCAATACATCCAGAAATTTCTCAAGATTTTTTTTTTTCCCTCAGTCTGCTCACTCCCACTGGAGACAGATTTCTTACCGCTGTGCATGTTAAAACAGAAAATTCTTGCAAAAGCAAATATTTTGATGCAATCCATACCATCCTCATAGATACTAGTTGTGAATAAAAACTACGGGATGCAGTTTACTCAGAGAGAACAGCCATCCCCTAGTACACATGGCTCACAATCAGAAGGTAAAAAGATAAAACAAATTAAACAAGAGAAGAGTTGAAAGAGAGTGTAACGAAATATGGTAAGACTTACGGTCAAGTCCATTGATGTATCTCATTGTAATTTCACAGTGCCCCCAAACCGCACTGACTATGGGGTAAAGTTTTTTCCCTTTTAGTCCTCTGAAGGCCACTCCAAGATACTGTCCATCTACCATAAAGCTGAGCGTTCCTTCGTCCATATCCAAAACCACCAGTAAGGAGTCTGGGAGTACAAAAGACTCATCCGGTTCCAAAAAGACAGGATACGTGACCCCAGGCTGGTTTTTACAATTGTGATAAAGTTTGTTGCGTCCCAGATCCCAGCCCCACGACTCACTGTTGCTGCCCACCAGTGACGTGTACCCCACTGAGTGCAGCGGTGCTTCGGCTGTGGAGACTCCCACCACGGCGTGAGTCCCCCGCTGCCTCGTGGGCCAGTGGATTTGCCAGACATGGAGGCCTCTTGTGTAGCCGACTTTGCCTCGGATGCAATCTGTGCTTTGGGCCACGGGGTGTCTGTGAAAAGTCAGTTTATCATCTTCCTTTACGAATATATTTAAAGAGCGATCTTCGTTGTTCCAAGCATGTTTGTACTGGATCTCCAGCTTTGCAGGGGGCATATCCAACAACATGTCCAGCCGTGCAGGCTTACAGAAATCCGGGCCTCTCAGCTCTCGCTTCACTGGCCTAAAAGGGGGCTCCCTCACATCCACAGACTTTATGCTCCCTGAGATTTTCTGGCCCATTGCTTGGCTGCAGATTTACCAAGGAGAAAGAAAAGCTGACTTTGGCCCAATGTTACCTCATGAAAGCGCTTGTACACTGAGCCAGTGGCCTGGCAAGCTGACTGAATTTACTTCTCCTGTTTGGAGCTTTTTAGCAGCAATGTTTTCAGAGAAAAAAATGTTCCTGAAAAAAAAAAAAAAAAAGAAATTTTCCAGTTAGTTTAAGAAAGTCTATAGAAAACCCACAGCATATTTTTAAAGAACAACTTATTTTCCCTGGTAGTTATTTGAAACACAAAAGCTGACAATTCACCACTTTTCGTTCAGTAATGTACCACATTAACCAGACTGTTGACAGCACATTCTGAGCCCACCAGCACACACAGCACAGACAGTCATTTCCTCCAATTCATAATAGGATACAGACATTCCTCACCTTCTGCCCTTCTACCCATTTTGTCTGACCAGGTTCGCAGCAGTCTTGAAAAAGGACACGGTATTCCCCAGCAACAGCAATAAACTTGGTGTCCAGCTGCAGCTTCACTTTCACTTACTCTTTTGTTTCATACTCTCAGAAATATGCACTATGTCTCCTTCCATTTCTAGCTGTTCTTTTCCCTGGGCCCTTGCAAAACAGGGCTTCGGCTTTGGGCTCCTCTAGAAGAAATGAAGCCAACAGCAAATGGCTGAAGAATTCTAAATGTTTATTTTTAGGGTACCCTGTTTAGCAAATTGTGAAAGCATCTCTGACAGAGAGGAATCTCAGCTCTATCACTTTGAAGAGGGGTACAGGGAAAGTAAACAAATCAATGTCTGTGTTATATGAAAGGGTTGGGTTTATTTTTTTTCCCAAAACAAAGAAGTAAAAAATGATTTTTTAAAAATGATTGTTAAATCCATGCAACAGGTAATTTATTTTCTATTGGCTTGTATAAAGTCAATCCCGCACAGGCATATGTAGGCATGTGCATAAAATGTAAAACTTCTTTGTACTTAATTTTAATCAAAACACCTAATTTCAACAGTTTAAAATAAGAACTCAACTTAAGTGCCCAAGTCCCTCATATCGTGCTTGCAGGAAGATTCAGAACATTCCCCAGGAGTTTCTTCTCACTGAAACAGTACAGCAACTTGAAAATTATCCAACATGAGATCAGCTTGAAAGATCTCTTCCTTCTTTCCGCACCATGTAAAGAGAATCTGGAAGCTCGAACAGTAATTATATTTAACTTGACGCTTGCCATTGCAAACTTGCAGAGGCACTTGCAGACTTCTGCAAAACTGACTCGAAGGTACAGTGATGAATGTGATCTGCTGAAGCAAGATCAGTAATATATTTCACAGTAATTATCCAGAGGGCAACAAAATACTGACAGTAATATGCACACAGAGAAGTGACAAGGAGTAAATACCATCAGATCAGAAGGCTTTAGTAGAAGGACACATGATCAGTAATTGGATGGCTCCTTTCAAAAAGATGCTTGATTATTTGAGCTTGATGGGAGTATATGGGAAGAGAAAATGTCAGCTGTTTAAGAGGAACCCCAGTGATTCCTGGAAGAGATTTATCTCAACATGTCTCTTAAAATTTCATCTTGAAAGCACAAGGTGACTGCCATGTTCCTGTTGGCGTGCTGAGGGGAGACAGCCAGGAAAGTCCTCGGTGCATCCTCACATTTCACTTCCCAATCACATAAGGAACTAACCTTGGCACTGAGATTTAACTGGCAGGTTACCAAAAGATTACAAACAGCAAAGGGACTCACTTGGCAAGCCACAGACTCTTCCTAAAGCACCCCAAATTGTAACAGAATAGGTTACTAATAAACAGACCAGTAATTCAGAGGAGTAAAATATATCATCGTAAGTACCTTGATACAAGCATAATTGTGTCTTTACTCTGGGACATGCTTCGTAATTATTTTGGTTTGAAACTGTATCTCATAATGTTTGGTCAAAGATATGAACACCACTGTTCACATATCAGCATTATCAAACAATTTAATCATGCACTGCAACGTTTTGCCAAATGGCTTTGTATGTACATAGGACTGAACAATAATGTAGAATTTTATAGTTCCTGATGCATTAAAGATAAGAGCTCCACAGAGCTTCAAAGCTGCCCTTCATCAAATACTTTCTCCCACCCACTGAAACATACTGTGTGCTCTTCCCATTCTTGTTCTGCAGTCTGACAGTTGTTCTCAGCTTCTGCTATAAGGCCAACTGTAACCACACATGGAGCATTCAGCTGTCAGAGGACTTGGACAAGTAAAAGCAAGAGCAAATTCAATACAATTGTACTGCTACAGCAGCACAGGTGTAACCCCACGCTAGCTGCTATCTCACAGCTCAGATCACGTGCATTTAACTGACATCAAATCTTTATCTGAGGTTGCAGTGAATACCTTCTGCTCCACAGCCCACGCCCCACTAACCTGAGCCCTGTAAGGAGCACCTCACGCAGACAGTGCTCCTGGAAGACCACAACAGTCCCTCCGGCTGCCTGCAGGACCAGCCTGTCTCCAAGCACGTGTCATCTATTCCCTTCCTTTGTCAGCATTCTTCCCATTTAACAGCAAACAGATGGCAGAGACCAGCTCTGAAGCGAGATCACATCTGCAGAGGCATCAGCTCATCCTTCATCCTGCCAGCTGAGTGCAGCTTTCTGGGGTGCAGCCCCAGGAGCACAGCTGGCTGCTCTCTCCCCTTCCTGGGGAACATCACATTGCAGCCCTGGCAGTGCCCTGCTCACCACCACTGCCAGCAGCACCACAGTTCCTCATCACACAGCTACCCCTGTCTGCTCAGCAGAGCTTGGAAGGAAAGCCCAAATGCTCGCAAGGGGAAGAGCAGCTACTTGTTAACAGCTTCCCAGGGAAAGAAATCACAAAATTGGCTTCCAATCTGCAGGAACAAATGGTAGACAACACAGAATTTGGAAAAGTTGAGGGTCAATGGATAGGATGGGATAAATCGCTGCTTTCAGGTTAGGCTCTATTCAATGCACTTACAGAAATATTTGGTCACAAACTTCTCACCATTCCCTGAAATGATGAAAACTTGCTGAAGCATAGCACTGTCATCAACCTCCTGTGACTTTTTGTGACCTCATGTTACTTTACTTGGGGAAATTCAGCTCCTTGCCTGTCTTCTCAAAGTCAAAAATCATTAGGAATGACATATATAAAAGAATCAGAAACAACATATATAGACATATAAACATTCTAAAATTAAAGCAACACGCAATTTCACTGTATAATTTTGCTCCGAATGCAAACTAAATGTCAAATTTGATTTGGAAAATGCTGCTTTCACAGGGTGCTGCTCTCCTCCAGCAATTTCAAACCACCACAGCAGTTAAGAAATATGAAAATGTTCCCATTTGGCATAATACACATGATCTCTCCAGTATATCCATTCAGAAGCTAAAACTGAAACATCAAATGTCATCAGACACTCCTGTGAAAAAATATATTCTGTGGAAAAAGGTAATATTTTCATGGGAAGAGTAAAAGAATCATACCAGTATTGTCCCTAGGCAATTGCAAAGCTCTGGCTGAGAAGACTGCTAGTTGGTGTAGCCTAAAGTGTTTCTGTCTCAGTCTCACACTCCTGCCATGCTTTGTCAGGATCTGACGATTAGATTAAGCATACTGTACGAGAACAAGCCAACTCCTAACAGGAAAAGTGTGTCAGCATCGCTTAGCTGTGTCTTCATGCAGACTGCCAAAATATTTAGGGAAGTTATTCACAATAAAAACACCAATTATACTCAGCAGAGAAAAGCTTGCTGGGATATCATTTCACTGTAATTAAATACAGTGCATTTTTAGCAATTCAGTACGTTGGCATTAGTAGAACAGAACTGCTGATAAAAGAAACATGTTTTCTTGTGAAGTCAGCTTTCAGCATTCATGTTTATGTTTCCCCATCAATTACTATGAACAACATATGCAGAGAACTTGAGAAACACAGATGAGAAATAATAACATAGAAAAAGTGCAAAACTACAGTAAGAACATGCTGTGGCTTACATCAGTTCTATTAATGTGGCACCAAAATAAGTGAAGTGAGGCAAGTTCTAACAAATAAAACTGAAATAATCTCTCCAGGAAGGTGACCCCTCTGCCTACAAGCACAGCAAAATCCTTTGCAGTGGTCCCCACTCTTCTTGCAATTGACTCTGGCTGGCTTTTTGCCTTCATGCACCCAGCTCCTGCAGCACTGTTCCTGCTGCCATAGGCTTTAAGGGCTGCAACAGAAGTCTCCAAACATGAGCCTCTTCTCCCTGGGCACAGCCGTTGTCCTTTTGCCAGGTGTCTGAACAGAGCAAATCCCCTAAGCGTTCCAGCACACTGAATCTGGTCCTAGCCTCTCTCCAGACGAGACAGGAAGAAGAAAAACACAAGCTCTGTTGTGCTGGACAAGCTGATGAAAAGCATTCCACAACTTGAAGAAGGAGGACTTTTAGCTCAGTGCAGAAAATGTGAAGGCATGAGGCCCAGTGTCTATGGCTTATGTTCACAGCATGCAAACAGCTACGAAACCATGACAACGCTGCTCCAAGGGTGACAATGAATTAAGTACATTTTTGGCACCCTAAAATATTGGCCAGCTTGGTTTCAGCTATAGGTCCTGGCATCCAACATTTCTGATTTATTGCATATTTTGAACAACGTTGGCTTCCTTTGTCAAACTGGGAATATACAGTAACAATGCAAGAAGCCAGAAATGCTTGGACACCCTGAGCTATCCTGTGCTACAGATAACATTTTGTGTTGCATACATACTTAGCAAAAGAACATTTCACATGTGGGATGAACACTGCAGCAGTAAGTCATGACTTTTTCAACTCCAAAAGGAATGCACATCGTGAAAATCCCAAGGATGTGCATCCATAAAGGGTAACTTGTTTTGTCATGTTACAAAAATGTAATTGTTTCAAAATTCAAGATAAGCTTGTTGTTAAAATAGATTGTGCATTTAGTTGCTTGGAATTAGAATAATCTGAAATATCACACCATCTGTACCACCACAGTTAGAAGCAGTTTAGTCAGATGATGAAGAATTCAGAAAGAATCCTGAATAGCTATGAATATACTGGAATGTATATTTTTAAATGCTTTAATCTACTGTATTTTGAAACTGAGCTGTTTTGAAGTTTTAGTTTGTTTTTCAGCC